TAGATTAAAATGTATTAAGCTCTTTATTTTAGTCAAAAATTTCTCAGAACCCGATTTTCCTAGAAACACTCCCATATGGTATACTTTTTTTATTATATTATTTGAGATTAAAAAGAGGCCAGCATGTTAATAAAAATGTTGTACATCTTGATCTTGAAAACCTAAAATTTGGGTAAGAAGATATGTTAACTAAATTTAAGCCCTAGCTCAATTTTAAGTATGAATTCACTATTGGATTTTGATATATTTCCTGATTGTGTAGGCCAATTTGGGGTTTAATAAAGATTTCAAAATTTTTGTATATCAGAAGGGGCTACGCACTATTTTTATACTATTCGAAATTTTGTCTCAAAAACCCCAAAATTGCCTATATTCTTAAGCTATTACAAATAGATATTAACAGATAAGTAAGAAGAATAACATAAGATTTAAGTTATACTGATTATTAAAAATAAAAAAAATTTTACATAAGATAGTAACTAAATAATTTAAAATTATCAAATTAGAAAAGTTACTTATAAGTGCAAAAAGTTTATTATATTCTTTAAACAAAACTTTATAAAAAACAAATTTTGTAAATACTACTATAATTACAGAAAATGCAAATTTATTAGATAAGATAAATTAAGAAAAATTTATAAATGAGATCAAAAAGAAGGACTATATTAAAAAAGTAAGATTTATATAGTATTAATGTTTTTTATTGTTTATATCAATTTTTAATTCTTTATCTATCTTAAAAATAAATAAATTTATTATTAATTACAAAATAACTTTCTTTATAGCAGAAAGTTATTTTTCAGAAACAGATCCAGGTACTATTATAATATTTATTACTATACTAGGTCTTTTGAGATTATTTTTACTAATATAAATTACTTCAAAGTTCTTACTTTTTTTGAAAATAGCTTTAAGGCCAAGAATTCATAAATTATTTATTTAATATTAACTCTTTTTAAAACCTTATAAAATCACTACTGATCTTATTAACATGGTTACTTTTTCAAAAAGTATCAAAAAAAATAATAACAAAAATAAAAGTGTAGTATTATAAATGAGGAAACTTAACAGAAGAAATAAGTAAAAGAAAGTCATAAATGAGAGATTCTTACTAAAAAAAGCTTATAATAAAATAATAGTGCAAATATAGAAATACATTTGTGTACATATTTAGCTTCCTTTTAATGTATTAAAATCTACTTTAATTAACTGTATTAGATATTAATAAGGGATTAATGGTTATATAAAAGTCATTCTAAATGAGAAATAAAAAACTTGAAGATAATATCATATTTATGAATATGTTGATATAACTAGCAAGTACAATATTTCTAAAATATGTCTGTTCTATTTTCAAAAGTTATTTTCCATTAAGCCTGCAGGATCACTTGTGAAAAAGAGCAAACTGTTTACCTATATTGCGTAATAGAATGCATTTATTCTTAGTGTTTGACAAAAAGAATCAAATATATAACACAAGAAAGGGACAAAATGCAGCTATAAACATCACTTTTATCTGAAGCATTGATCATTCTAGCTGCTAATTATTGGCCTTCTCTTTCTTTTCATTGTAATGCTAATTATATAAGATACACTTTGCAAATGAATTCCTTTCAGTTAACTGGTTTCCTGTGAATCCATTCGAGATTAATGGATATGAAGTCTATTCAAATGGTTAAATTTTGACAAAAAAGTCAAAAAAGTCAATTCGATAAGGCTCATCAATGACGGTTTTTCTCTTTTCTTTCTTTACAATGATATATAGTTGAAAAAAAATAAATAAAATAAAGGCCAGACAAGTGAGTTTTTATCAATCTACCAAAAAAAAAAAAACTCAATTGAAAATACAATAATAATATAAGGTTAAAAGAATAAAGATGCATTGTTTTATTGAAATATTTAATATTTTTATTTTTTTCTTGAAACGAAAAGGTGGTTCACAGTAATCACGTGATGATAATTCATATTTTTAATTTTAAATGATGGTTTATTCTTGATTTAAATAATTCTGCTTCTCAACTCAAATGGAAATGCTCATCATCATCATTTTCTTTTTTAATTAAAGTATTTAAAATTGAGCAAATAAGCAGCGTAAAATTATTTATTAACATAAACAGGAAAAAAAATTATAAGATAAATCGTATAATTCACTCTAAGAATTTCACAAAAATATTTAACAATGAATATTATTTAATAATGTTATAACTTGGGTATTTGTATAAATAATTTTCTACCCAATTACAAAAAAAGAAACGTATTAATAATCAAGTTTCGACTATCCATTGCTGAACATAATTTTTATCAAAGTCTTGTGGAATAACTTGAAGGTCAGTTTGGCAGTAATGTGTTTATTTCATATAGAACTGGCATGCGAAAACAATGGTTGGTACTTTATTTCTAAACTTGTAACAATGTGCTATTTAAGTCTGTCATCGCTGTTGCGAGCAAGGAGACGTAGTTCGTTTTGAAGAATACGAAAATGTCAGCTAAAGCCTGAGCAAAGTTGTTATGTGAAGTACTGAGGACATCTCGAATAATGATGTGGCGTTTACAGCTAACTTTTGATTATTCTTCTTTTGCAATTGCATCAACAAAAACTTCCTTGCTTTTAATCAACAATATTGGAGTTGCAACGTTGTATACGCAGGAGTAAATGCTAACTCAATTGTCAAACTTGTCTTAACATTGCACGATTTTTTCAATAGACTTGCTCGTTCATTATACCACTGTGCATCTTTTTCAAGTTTCGCAAAACGATATTCACGTTTTCTTCCTCGCAGCAATATGGCCAGACCTTTATGCATGGGTCAATTATTTTAATTATTTTAAATGCGAATTGGGCCTCATTTATGAATTCACAATTAGGCTATTGTTATTTTAATAATTTGAAAATAATATTATGCGAAGGTCCAAAATCGTATGATCACATAATTTTTTTCGGCTTCTCCCATTACCTTATTTTTTTTTTGTTTTTTTTAGTAATTAATTATTATTATTAAATGAATGATTCTCAAGTCTTTCCAACAAACATAATATTCTTTATTCTAATAACTTTAATACTGCATGTAATGCTCATATTTTTTTTCTTTCTTAACCAAATTGTATTATCTAGGTTTACTCTGGATCCCAGAATCTAATTTTCTAGTAATCATTCCATATTTTGAATTTCTTGATTGAATAAATTTTGGCGTTCATTTACTACAGGTGTTCAGAGCTTAAATTAATAAAATATCGGAATTTAAATTCAATAAAGTCAGTTTTATTCATATTAAGTTACATTTTTTTTTTAAATAAAAAATGAAATAATATCTTTATGGTTACCTACTTTTAGTAATTAAGTAAATTTACCTTCAAATTTTTAAAACTTTTTAATTAATAAGTAGGAGGCGTATAATTAATTTTAAATTGATTCGCAACCTTTTTTTTTATTTTTTCATCATGCGACTTGTTTATAACCAGTCGTATGTTTACTTGTATGGACCATATTGCTTTCAATTAAGAACTGCCTTTTTTTTTCTTTTGTTTTTACCAGAATGGGTAAACAATATAACATTTTTCATAATTTTCTGACGGTTCCGAAAATTCACATTTGAGATTTATTTAATTTATTTGGATATGTAAAAAAAAAAAAAAAAATTGAAATTGATTTATAAGATTCCAATATTTTGATAATAAAAAGTTTTTTTATCGTCGACGCATTAATTTTTTAATGAACTTTTGTAACTCAAGCTCGGTAACAGTCCGATAATGTCAGACCTTATTAAATTTTCATTGATCATCTGCTCAATCCCTTTCAAAGTCCAATAGATGCCATGGGTATGAGTGGAAAAAGTATTCAATTTTGTTCTATCCTAAGTATGTTGATCACAAAAATTTGTGAAAGGAAAAAGGTTATATCTAATTCTCGATTAAGTGAAATAAAGAAAAAAAAGGGGAATCGATTTCCGTTTATTTTAGATCGTTATAATTAAATGATAAAATCTTGGCTAATTAAAAACCAATTCCGCCAACAATCAAATTTGTTTACAATAATGATTAAATATAGTAAGATTTGCTGAAATTACACTATATTTAGTAATTTTTGGGTTCTTTGAAAGACGTTGGTTCTCCCTTCAGTACGCATGGGCTTGGCATGGCTACAAACGCACCAAGATTCACCAATGATCTCATTTTCATCCGCTTTTGTTTCATCACCGCCCTCGTCAAATTGTTTGGCGGAATTCAAATTAGCCCATATGTATATTTAGATCAAAAAATTATTATCCAATGGGCTATTCATCGTTAATAAAATTTTAAGGTAAATTATTAAGCTTTCAAAGAATTCATGCTTTTATGTTGAAACAAAGTTCAATAAAATCGTACAAATTATAATTTTATCTTTCTCTATAGCGTTTGAATATTGTTTTGATGAATTATGCCACATTTTCCAGCTGGATTTATTGATTGGTATAACGCTCAAGTATATCTAAATAAAAAAAAAATTAATTTATTAATTTAATATATATTAAAAAAAAAAATACATTGTAAAAAAACTATTTTTCTAATCTAAAAAACTTATGTAAATCACGAATCTTATTGTGTATCATTACTAATTTTCTCACGCATCTAAAGTTTGCTCATATAAAGAAACCAATCAGATTGTTATTTTTTAACAATATCATGTAAAGAAGCCGATTCAACTTGCTGTTATTCATAAAATTTGTAGTTATAGCAATATGAATGCTTCTTAAAAACCCGAGGTTGAAGTTGAGCTGATGTCATATCCCGTGAAAAATGTTTAATCACACTAGATGATGGTTTAGCATGTCGTTTTTGTTTTAATTGCTGTTTTGCTTGTTACTTATATACGCATATATTAAAGTAAATCACCTTCGCGATTAGCCGCCCAAACATAGGATTAAGAAACGTTTTTGTAGTCAAAATTGAACGTTTTGACGATAAGCAATATATAGTTTAACGAGTTTAAATTATATATTAAAAACGTAGTCGATATCAGAAATTTTAAAAGCTAGCTTTTAGAATATAAAAAAATATCTTTCTCTCTCTGATTAATATGATTATTCATATATCAAAATACCAATAAATAAAACAACTTGTAATGTTCGCGTTAAATTTAACATAAAGTTTAGCATTAATTCCCTGAAAATTTCTAATAATCGAAATCTTTTTCTGGCCTGATATGCTTTCTATCACTACCTTTAATTTTTAGTATTATAACGAGAATGACCATCCATATGCTTGACTTAGAATAATATAAAGAAGAACATTATTTATTGCGGTTTTTAAAAAATATATTTATTAATCATTATAAAAGTTTGATATATCATTTGTCTTTGAATACCTATTAAGATTAAAGATTATGATGCTAAAATTGGAGTTTAATTAATGCTTCAAACTTTCCTTCCAATCCGTATTTTATAGAAATTTATTCTTGTTCTCCAAATCAATTTGGACAAGTCACAAGTCAATGTACTTTATTTCTGGGAGGTGGTAATTTTCGGATAAACATTTTTTTTATAATTTGAGTTCTCGAATATATCGTTTTTAATTTTTTAAATATGAAATTTACGACTTAATGTATCTATATAGTATTTATATTTGCCTTCATTTGTTAATCCTGAATGTATATTATTAAAATAATATTTATAATATCATCAAAAAAAAAAATACAAAGGTTTATTAGAGATTTTTTTTTTACAAAATTTGGTAATAATGTGCTATTGAAGCTCGCGCTAGGTTTTGTTCAACTGAAAATTTTTTTACGGAAGTTTTCATGGTTTCTCATTCCGAGTTCAATAATTTTTAATCATTAACTTTTTAAACCAACTGATATATCACAGATTTTTAAATTAACAAATTGATTAGTCATATTTGATTATTTTAATTTGTATCCTAAATTATTGTCATCATCTTAGTTCATTTCTATATTTAGTATATTTGTAGACATCTGATGAAACAATTTTGTTGTAAACTTAATTATTATAGTTTACCAATTATATACAGACGCTACCCTAAATTTTACAATTGAAGATTTTCAGATTGACGAATCTTTTATTATTTAATAACCAATCAATTATAATTTTAAAAATGTAATCCAAAAATATTCTATTTATAAAATGCCGAAAAATACTCATTTGTAAAGTAATAGACAAGACAATTTATATATAAAATGCAAAAAAACATATAAAAAAATTGTTGCTTATTACTAAGTAAAATTTATAAAATCCGGTAATTTATTGTAGTGTATTACCATCCTTCTAAAATGGCACGATTGATAATTTAAATTAATATTAGTTTGCTTATATATTAATCTAAGTACGGTAGTTTGCTTATGTATTCATTTATACAATCTTATTTGTTATTTTAGATTATGTGAAACGAGCAATCAAACGGGGGTTTTTCCCTACTTTAAAAAGAGAGTCTCTTCAACGAAGAAAGCCATTTACCTCCTCGGGAAAGTGTAAGAGTCTGCTTGTATAATAAGCGCGAGGATCGATTTGTTGGCGAGATCCAGTAATTACATCTTGGTCAAATGGTTCAGATTTATTAGGATCCGACCAACTTCCTAATAAATCATATAATTGAGCTGCAGTTGGGCGCTTTGAAGGATCGGAGTGCCAGCATTGAGTCATTGTTTGAATATAAACTTCTGGAATTCCATCGGTAATTTCAGGACGAAAACCAATACAAATTTGAGCAGCCAATCTAAGATCATGTGGTTTATTATAAAATGGCCGGATACCCGCAGAAAGTGTCCACATGATGATTCCAAAACTATAGATATCTGAAGCTTTCGTTGGAGGATTTCCTTTCAAAATTTCAGGAGCTACATAAGGAAGAACTCCATATATTTCATTTGAATTTTTCTTATCAACTGGACCATGTAATCCTAC